TTTTTTTTTTTTTTTTTTTTTTTTTTCCCTCCCCTCCCCCCCCCCTTCTGTTAACTGTGCTGTGTTGGAAGTATGCTGATGTCCATAAGGAGACCTGTGGCACTTGACAAATGTCAAGGGTGCTGTGCCTGCTCAAGCCATCCTGGGTCTGCACAGACCCTCCAGCCTTAGTGACAGCTGCTCTTCCAGGCTCCAATGCTCCACGGTCTTGTCTCTGCTAGACCAGTAGACATCAACTGGCATTTGGTTGCAGTGCCAAGTTAGCCCTGATTATGCCCATGAGAGTTTCTGTAAGAGGCCAGAGCAGCACTCCAGGAGTCTCCTGGGACTGTCGTGTCACATCTTCCATCAGGAGTCATCCTGAGCTCGGCTGCTTGTGCTGCAGAAAACCTGTGTGCTGTGACTCTGGCTGCTAGGAATGAGTGTTTTAAAGTTGCTTAAAAAGCACGAGCAACAGAATCGACAGAAGCAGATTTAATATAAAAGTGAAAGCACAACAGTTTGGTGGCAAGGTTCTCTCTAGTGCTGACTAGGTGGTTAAAGCATAGAGAAAAAGCAGACTACAATCAATCTAAACCCAGTATCAACCCAAAAGTTATCTACGTGGAGGCTGGGGGTGAGGGGGATAAGGATAGGTTGAGTCACAAGATTCAGATCTCTGTTACCTCTGTTGCAATCCACCCCAGAAGGCAAGGGTAACCCAGGTTCTTGTTAATAGATCCCTTGGGTGATCTTAACAATGTTTTAAGCCATTAACCATTTTCATCTCTCACAACCCCCTTGTTCAGCTGGGCCCTGGACAAGACCAACGGTTTATGTCTAACCTTTCCGTATATACTGCCGTTGGAGAGAGGTGAGTTAAAATTTGATGGTGTCAAAAATTAAACATTAGTTACTACACTGCATAAATATTATTGTAAAATGAGTCATTCAAAGTTGATGACACCCGGATGAATTTTAAATCCCTAGCAGGCTCTGATATGTTTTTTTTTTTTTTTTCTTTTTTCCCCTCGATAAGTGTTCAACCTTTAAAATTAAATTTCCTGGCACCCCCGAGGGGCGGGGGCTGGGTCACGTGATTCCCGGGCCGGGTCACGTGAGTGGCGGCTGGGACAGGCCCCAACATGGCTGCGTACCTGCAGTGGCGCCGTTTCGTCTTCTTCGACAGAGAGACGGTGAAGGAGCCGCCGGGCCCGGATGGGGCCGGTGCGAAGCCCTTTTCTCTGCCCCCGGGCATCGCGGTTTGCGACTCGGGCCGGGGCAGCCTCGTGTTCGGGGATATCCTGCCCGGTGCCGGGCGCTGAGGGCCTGTGGGGGGCTCGGCGGGGCCGGTGTTGGAGAGTGCTCGAGCTTCCTGCTCTCCGCTGTCCTTTGCTTTAAACACAAACAAAAAACCTCTCTGCTGAATGTGTTGGTGCTCCGGGGTCGTTCTGCAGAAGTGTTTACTAAAACCCTCCGATTGAAGGTGTGGTGTGGTGGTTTTTGTTTGTTTGGTTGTTTGTTTGTTTGTTTTGTTTGTTTTTTGGTTTTTTTTTTTCCTTTCTCTTTATGTGCCTTAACTGTGATCTAAATATGGAAGGTCAGATTTGGTTTTTGCCTCGCTCCCTTCAACTCAGTAGTTTCCAGGCTTACAAGCTGAGGGTAACTCATCTGTACCAGCTGAAGCAGCACAGTATCTTGGTTTCTGTTGGAGAGGATGAAGAGGGTATTAACCCCTTGGTAAGTCAGATGATAAAGTGAGGAAAATGTATTTGTAATATAAGTCTTTCTAAAGGCTACTTTAGGGTAGTGTGATTAGCTCAGTTAACTTTTCTTACTTTAATTATCTTGATCATTTTGAGCACTGTAACATTTGATACCAGGTCTTGGCCCTAAGCAAACCACATGTTTTGCTTATGCTGGATCGTTGTTGTTTGTAGGTGAAAGTCTGGAATCTGGAGAAGCGAGATGGTGGCAATCCTCTGTGCACACGAATTTTCCCAGCAATACCAGGTAACAAGCCCACGGTTGTATCCTGCCTAACTGTCCACGAGAATCTTAATTTCATGGCTATTGGTAAGTAAAACTGAGCTGTAACAGCCTAAGAAAAATATTACGAAAATTAACCCTTACTCAGATGTAAGGAAAATGAAGAGATGATGCAAAAATCAGCACAGAATATGCTGATGGTTTTTCTTCTTATGCAGTTGTTATTCTCCCTGAGAGATTGTGTGTCTCATGCAGTCACAGAGCTCGAGAAGATAAATGAGTAAATTTAACCCAAGTCTGTATATTTTAAATAAATACTTAAAAGGGAAGCACATATTTTTAGTTGATGTTCTCTTTCCCTGCCATTTGGTCAGGCTATATATTTATTGAATTAGTACTAAATTCAGGTTCTGTTGGTACAGGAGAAACCATAGGTTTTGCGATACCTAGTGTTACAGAGAAATTTTTTTCAAGTATACTATAGAAACCTTTTTTTAAAAAGAAAGCCAGTTTCCCCTTTTGGATTCACCCATTCCTTTGTAATGTTTTTTGCTTCTGACAGATTAAGAGCAGTAATGTGAGGTTACATGGTCCCTGCACTGAAATCAAAAAGCTTTCCCTATGTGTGTGGTGGCCTTCCATCCTGGGACAACTTACAAGACGGGCTGTTGGCAAGCTGTGAAAACTGCATATTTTCACAAAGAAAATCTTCCTCTTGTCTTTTTACAGTGTGTTTTGAATAAGCAAGGGAATTAAAATGATCATTGCAGTTGTGGGATGGGAAGGCTGTTCATAGAGCAAAATACAGAGAGACTCAAAACAAAATCAACCCGCACATGAGATTTGTGTGTGGAAAACAAGCTGACCCTTGCTGAGCAGTACCCTCCTGTATGCAGTCGTGTGAGAGCTCTGAACTGGAACAGGACCACTGGGAGGTGGCTTGGCCAGACTGACTTGACGCAAGAACCTATGGCAATCCCATCACTTCATACCTTGCTGGTGAGCAAGGTGTTGTTGCTGACTGGAGCTGCCCTAACTTATGCTGAATAAAATTTCAGGTGTGCTGTGTAAGTAATTGTTTAGTCTGTCCACTTCACCAGGTTTTGCAGATGGCAGTGTTGTTCTTACGAAAGGAGACATCACTCGAGACCGGCATAGCAAGACCCAGATCCTACACGAAGGCAGTTACCCAGTTACTGGCCTTGCTTTCCGACAGTCTGGCAAAACTACACATCTATTTGTGGTGACCACAGAGAACATCCAGGTGAGAGGTTAACTGGAAAAAATGAGACTGACTTGCAAATTTCATTGCTTTCAGAGTCTAGACCAGAGTGATCCCCAAACCCTTGCATTTCCTCTGTAGTCTTATATGCTTTCAGTGAAAGACTATCCTCACCTGGAGCTGGACACTCACGGTTGTGGATTGCGCTGTTCATCTCTCAGTGACCCCTCCCAGGATCTCCAGTTCATTGTGGCAGGAAATGAATGTGTGTACCTTTATCAGCCAGATGAACGTGGCCCTTGCTTTGCCTTTGAGGGACAAAAGCTGATTGTTCACTGGTACCGGGGGTACCTCATCATCGTCTCCAAGGACCGAAAGACTTCGCCAAAGTAGGGCTTCTTGGAACAGATGAGTTCTTTTTGCTCTTGCAGCTTCTTGCTTTCCCGCTTTTTTGTTCTTACTTGTAAAACTTTGCTCTTGGAGGCCGATGGCAACTTTGTCAGAGGCTGTTGAGGTTCATCCAGACCAATCTATCTGTGTGCAAGAGCAGCACAGTTAAGCATGCTGAATGGGAATTTTTCCCAGTCCTATGAATTTCTCAGTAAAACAGGATAATGGAATTTGTGTATAAATATGAGATGTTTTGCCTCTAGGCCCACTTAGTTTATTGCCCAGGTGAACCCTGCTTGTCTTGCTCTTTGTATGTCTCTAGTTGGCACAAGTATCAAGATTCCAAGTTATGCTGTCTTTGTTTTTTAAAACTTTTTTCTGCTCTCCAGGTCAGAGTTTGCTGGGAATGAGGCACAGAATTCGGACAAACAAGTCCTGAATATATATGACTTGTGCAACAAATTCATTGCATACAGCTCAATCTTCGATGATATAGTGGATGTCTTGGCAGAGTGGGGTTCTCTGTATGTGCTGACCAGAGATGGGAAGATCCACGTATTACAGGAGAAGGATACACAAACCAAACTCGAGGCATGTAAATCTGTTTTCTTTTTAGTCTCTGCTTTATGTCTGCAAGATTGTACTGACTCTGCAGATTGAAAAGTTGAACCATTCAGGTGGGTGAGTTATATAACAAGTGACTCAATAGCTTTTCAGCATGACCAGTGTTATAAGGCATTTACTTTTTAAAAGTCTAAGGACGCATATGCACTAAAAAGAAGAAACAACTTTTTTTCCAGGTGTATTTGAACTTGTTTTGTGGGGTGGTATTTCCCTTACTCAGCTCTTACCATGTGTTTAACAGATGCTATTCAGAAAGAACTTATTTGAGATGGCCATTAACCTGGCCAAGAGCCACCACTTGGACAGCGATGGTTTGTCAGAGATTTTCCGGCAGTATGGGGATCATCTGTACAACAAAGGGAACCATGACGGGGCCATCCAGCAGTACATCCGGTAGGTCCTGTGAAGCCAGGATGTTGTAGTGCAGGTAGGAGCTACAGAGGGTTTGATTTCTGTTTCAGCCCAGGAATAAAACAATTCCAAACCAAAAAAAGCATGACTTGAGGTGAAAGTTCTACCCATAGAGAGAAACATTTCAGTGAGATTAAAAGTCTTTGAACACATTACTTGAAAATTGCTCTGTACACCTTGGAATAAAGTTCTTCTCTTTGATCATATTTTAACATGAATAATGTAGGCACACTGGGATGGAGTTGGGCCTGACAATACCATTATAAAGAAGGAATCGCCCTAGGATGATGCAATTTGACCATGAATGGCAGTCCTCTTGGAAAATACCCAAACAACTCGTCAGCTTTGAAACATCTTGGGTTTTTTAGAACTCAAACTTGGAATAGCCTGGGCTTGGGGCTTACTGAAAACTTCATGCTCAGTTTTTAAAATGTCACACAGTGTTAGGTTAATGTGCAGCTGAGCCTCTGGAGTCCCCAACATGTAGTGACAGTCGACATGTATTTTTACTGTTGACTTGGGTTAAGTCTCACGATAACTGTGGCTAAAGTGCTTCATGTGGGCATGAGCATTTAAAACCGACTTTGAGTTATGCAACGGAAATGAAGGAAAATGTAGCTTTTTTTCCTCTTTTTTTTTTTTTTTTTTTGGTCTTCCCAGTTTGCTGTGGTCAGATCCCAGTCCTAGGCTCACTGCTGCATTTAAAGGAGAATTAAGTCTTTGCTTGCTGTCATGGTCATCCTGATTGAAGCCTTTGTATCTCTGTGCGTGCAGATGGGTAGTCTTACACCATAACTAGTTGTTGTATAGCTTAGTGATCACGTGTGGGTTAGTGCCTGCTGAAGTTAAGGCTTCTCTCTGCTCTGTTGTTAATTGTTCCATTTATTTTGACTTCTTGGGTGTACAGTATCTTGTACCATGACTCTTTCCCTCACAGAACTATCGGGAAGCTGGAACCATCGTATGTTATTAGAAAATTCCTGGATGCTCAGCGTATCCACAACCTCACTGCTTATCTACAGACTCTCCACCTGCAATCCCTGGCCAATGCAGATCATACTACACTTTTGCTGAATTGCTATACCAAACTCAAAGACAGCTCCAAACTGGAAGAATTCATTAAGGTATTGGGGAGAGGTGAAATTGTGCCACGTTATTATGGCCTGATATTAATTAAAAAGAGATAGCAGTGACATCGTAAATTGGCTCCTGTAGGGCCATTAAGACAGAGAAGAATGGATTTGTCACTCAGTACCCCTTCTTTACTCCTTGATTTCCAAGCTCTTGCTTACATTTGGTTAGCTTGCATCTGAGTCTGAGTGTGCTTGCTTCTGCCAGTGCAAATGGCAAGAGAATGGGAGGTGGTCAGACTCCTTTCCTTTCTGCGCGGGTGGCCTTTCCCATGCCTGAGAGGTACTGCGTTGTCCCTGCTCATGCTTTCCTCCTCTTACATAAATGATTGCTGCTTCTGGACTGTGGGAGTGTTTCTGAGGGACCATCTTTCTGCTTTTGTTCTTGGAGACGAGTGACAGCGAGGTCCGCTTTGATGTGGAAACGGCCATCAAGGTGCTCCGCCAAGCAGGTTACTACTCCCACGCTGTGTACCTGGCAGAGAAGCATGAGCATCATGAATGGTACCTCAAAATCCAGTTAGAGGACATCAAGGTGAGGAGACATAACTGCTCCCGTGTTCTTACTTGGGAGAACACCACATCTCTAGCCTCCTCTTCAGTGAAAATACATTTCCCTGACCTCTTTCCTGAGGGTAGCATGCTGGTGGGATTGCTGAGGCAGCAGCAACAGCACTTGATACTGCTTGTGTGTTGCCTTTTTCCTTTTGGCACGTATGGTAGACTAGGGGTGGAAATCAGAGAACCTTACTTGTTCTGTTTCAGATGTGGCTTTTTACAGTCCCCTTTAAGAGGAGGGAGGGTGGATAGTGAGGGACTCATCTAAGTCTCTCCCCCAGGCCACATCCAGTCTTCCTCCCTGAGGAAGAAAACAAGCAGGAATAGTGAACTAGGTGATAATTCAGAGCAAATGGTGTTTGTGGCATACTCACAGCACGTCTTCATTCTGTCCTAACCTCAGAGTGGGGAGCAGGGGCCAATGTCCTGTGATTGTTTTGTTGGCTGTCTCCACAGAACTATCAAGAGGCTTTGCACTACATTGGAAAGCTGCCCTTTGAACAGGCAGAGAGTAACATGAAGCGCTATGGTAAAATCCTAATGCACCATGTCCCTAACGAGACCACAGAATTGCTTAAGATCCTTTGCACTGATTACCGACCCTCGGGAGACAGTGAAGGCCATGGGATGCTGGAAGGAAAAAAGGTACCATTTATGTTGACAGCGAGTTTTTGCTCTCCAGTAGTGCAAGTGAGTGCTTCTGCATACTTTATGGTGTCAGCCCAATGGTTTAGGTATAATGAGAGTTATACCTAAAAATATGTGTGTGTATATATACACACGTGTATATATATATACATGCTCAGGTGAGACCCCACCTGGAGTACTGTGTCCAGCTCTGGAGCCCTCAGCACAGAAATGATGTGGACCTGTGGGAGCGGGTCCAGAGGAGGGCTACAAAAATGATCAGGGGAATCGAACACCTCCGTTCTGAGGAAACGATCAGTGAGTTGGAGTTGTCCAGGCTGGAGAAGAGAAGGCTTCGGGGACACCTCATTGCAGCCTTTCAGTACTCAAAGGTGGCTTATAAGACAGAAGAAGACAAACTTTTTAGCAGGCCCTTTTGCAATGAGTCAAGAGGTAATGGTTTTAAACTAAAAGAGAGCAGATTTAGTTTGGGTAGAAGAGAGAAATTTTTTACGATGATGGTGGTGAAACACTGGACCAGGTTGCCCAGAGAAGAAGAAGATGCCCCCATCCCTAGAAATAAATATTCAAGTCAAGTTGGATGGAGTCCTGAGCAACCTGATCTAGTTGAAAATTTCCTAGCTCGTTGCAGGGGCATTGGACTAGATGGCCTTTAAAGGTCCCTTACAACCCAAACCATTCTATGATTTTACAAGAAGCTCTGTCCTGTCTGGTGTACTGGTAGTCCCAGAGACAAGAGACCACTTAAAGCTATTGCTCAGAACTGATTCCTGATGTAGTTCCCATCCTGTGTCGTGCTGTATCTGTTGTGTCTCAGAAATGAACATTCCTCATGCAGGGAGGAAGCACCAGTCCAGCTTAGACTGATTTGGGTGCTTGGTCTCTTTCTATCTGTGTTACAGGCTAATTCAGAGGAGTTCATCCCAGTCTTTGCAAACAACTCCCGAGAACTGAAGGCTTTTCTGGAGCATATGACTGAGGTTCAAGCCGACTCTCCACAGGGTGTCTATGACACTTTACTGGAGCTTCGACTCCAAAACTGGGCACATGAACAAGATGAGCAGGTTTGAGCTCTTCCATCACTGTGTTTTGAGAGACAGATTTGGTGTCTCTGAATCCTATTTGCATTCCTGCAAACCCATAACCTTTCCAGCTGGGCATTGATAACATGAGGCAATACATATGCTGTGCTGGACAAATGGCACAGAAATGAGAAAGCAGCCTGCTAGCTGGGAGAATACTCCTTTAAGGAAGGCTGAACTTGCTTTGTATGAATCTCATCTAAGAACAGATTCCACACAATACAGCCTCTGTGAGCAGATGCCTCACTCACAAAAGTATCTCTATTTGCTTGCCTAGATCTGTGAGGATGCTGGCTGTTTGGGCAAAGAAAATCATGTCCTGTTTGCTTAAAAGGGATAGAGAACAAATAGCAAAACTGTCTCCTGTGAAAGAGCTGCAAATTGTCAGGTCTTAGTGCAAAATAGTGTGTACTATGTGTGTGCCTGTGTTGCTCTGCCTGACCTCTCCCCATTCTTTGTAGACCAAGGAGAAGCTGCACAATGAAGCCCTCACCCTCCTGAAGAGCGGAAGGTTCAAAACAGTCTTTGATAAGGCCTTGGTCTTATGTCAGATGCACAATTTCAAGGATGGTGTCCTCTACCTCTATGAGCAGGGCAAACTGTGAGTGTTGCTCTTGTCTGTAGAGTCCTTCCCCTTCTGCCCCCATTGAGCCTTAACTGTCTGTGCCTTCAATGGTAGTAACCTCTTTAGTGTCTCAAGATGGGAATGGTAGTTTACTGCTCAGCTGAAATACCTTGTTGTTAGAGCAAAGCAGTTACATAGTGAATGGGAGGCTTGTCTTTGGCTTCTGTGTGAGTCTGGAGATTGCATGGCTGGGTGGAATCTTGAAGTCCCTCTAATAATTCAAGGGGAGAGATGGATTGTGGCAGCTGATGAGTCTTTCTCCCATAGTTTCCAACAGATCATGCACTACCATATGCAGAACGAGCAGTACAAGAAGGTGATCGAGGTGTGTGAGTTGTATGGAGACCAGGAAGCTTGTCTCTGGGAACAGGCTCTTGGCTACTTTGCACGGAAGGAGGAGGACTGTAAGGAGTACGTTGCTGCAGTACTGAAACACATCGAGAACAAGAATCTTATGCCTCCTCTGCTTGGTAATTATGACGTGTGGCACTCAGCCCACAGCACCCCTCCAAAGAAAAACCTAACCCAAGCAAAAACAAAAAAAAAACCCCAAACCACAAAAAAATTCAACCCAAACTAGTTTGTAGCAGTCTGTATAGATCAGAAATTTGAGAAGTGAATCAATGAAGTTGGGGCCCACCATTTGAAGTAATATTCCCTGTTCTGTAGGGAAAAGCTATGTCACTCACAGCTTCCTAATTAGGAAAAAAGACCGGTAGTATCAGTGAGATGTCTGTACATGCTTTCTGTTCTGTCAGTATGGGGCAGGGAAGGGCTTGCTGAAACTCCTGCTGTACCTTGGTGAAGTTGAACTGGAATCCAATCCACTGCTAGATCCTTGCTTTAGTTCTTTTGGTCTGAGCTATCCAGTTCCCCTTTTCTGGAAGAGGTCAAACTGAAAGAGAGCCTTTTCCAGTTCCATAAGAGTGTGAACTGTCTTTGCCTGTAAGTGGCCTTTCCCAGGAAAACAGTCTGCCCAGGCAGGACTAGTGTAACTTTTTGCGCCTGTGTTTAAACTAACATCTTGGTCACTCTCAGTTGTGCAGACGCTGGCTCATAACTCCACAGCCACCCTATCTGTGATTAAGGATTATCTTGTCAACAAGCTACAGAAGCAGAGTCGCCAGATAGAGCAGGATGAGCAGAGAATTCAAAAATACCGAGAAGAAACTACAAGGATCCGCCAGGAGATTGAAGAGCTAAAAGCAAGGTGCAGAAATGTGTCCTGTCTTGTCTTGTCCTATATAAGGATAGAACTGCTGTTTTCTTTTATTAAGGTAAAATATAGTTTGTCTTTCTCATGCTTCTCCTTCTTGTCACTCTCTCAGTCCCAAGATCTTTCAGAAGACCAAATGTAGCATTTGCACCAGTGCACTGGAGCTGCCTTCAGTCCACTTCCTGTGCGGTCATTCCTTCCACCAGCACTGCTTTGAAAGCTACTCCGAGAGTGATTCAGAATGTCCTACTTGCATGCCAGAAAATCGCAAAGTCATGGACATGATCCGAGCCCAGGAGCAGAAGAGAGATCTGCACGACCAGTTTCAGCATCAGGTAGGGTAAAATTGCCTGTCTTATCAAGTTGAAATAAATAGAGTTTAGATTCATTTACAGACCCGTGGAGGCTGGTAGAAAAGGGAAGGCTTGAAAGTATTTTGTAAACAAGGCTGAGTCTAAATAATGAGTCATTAGACCCTAGGGTGACTGCATTGTGTAGAGGGCATGGAGAGTTCTTGTCACTCTGCGAAGGTGAAAGGGAATCCATTCTCACCTTAACCTCAGATAGGTCGAGACCTATTGGTCAGTGTTACAGCTGGTAAACGAGTTGTATAGAACAAATCAGGGAGAAAGGAAAAAAAAATTGTGTGAATTGGAATGGGGGGGACAGGACCAAAATGTTGTTTCCTAAGGATGAAGCAGTGAAGTTGAGAATGGGGCATATGAGGAAACTAGAGAGCTGAGGCAGGTGCCTTACTGTTTAAATTCAGTTGTTCATTATATCCTCTCTATGCATGGCTCAGATGTAGGTTTGAAACATGAGGTGGAATGGCCAGTGGCAGCAAATCTAGCATCTTCCTCTGCTACATGCAGTCCTTGCATGGAATGAGCAAACAGCCAGGGAGTGACGTGGGCTGCCCTGTCCCTAATAAAGAGGCTCTAAGTGCAGGGATTGAAAGGAAAGAGGCTGGAGGCAAGAGGCTTTGGAGGCTTTTGCTAATGCTGCTGCTGTGTGTCTGGCAGCTCAAATGTTCCAACGATGGCTTCTCTGTTGTTGCTGACTACTTCGGTCGCGGCGTCTTCAATAAGCTCACACTCATCACGGACTTGCCCTCGGGAAAGGCGGCAACAACGCTCGAGGCTGGCCTGCAGCGGGAGCTGCTCATCCACACCAAGCGCAGCACCTGACCCCGAGCCCTGTCCACGCGCCCCCTCGGTTGTACGGAGCCCCGCGCTGTGTCCTCAATAAATCAGACCCCCTGGCTCTAATAAGCCAGCCTGGCCTGGCAGTGCCGCACCCGGAGCTGCCCCTCGACCCCCACAGACCGGACTAACCGGGCCGAGTGCTGGGAGGGCGGGGCCTGGGGGGGCGTGGCTCGAGGCGTGGCGGAGGGCGGGCTTCCTTGAGGGCGGCGGGGGTGGGGCCGGCGGTGACGTGCTCGGCGCGGCGCGAGGCCGGCGGTGATGGCGGAACGGGGCACGGGAGCGGCCGGAGGGGGCCGGGGCCGAGCGGGGAACGGCACGGGGGCCGACGGGGCAGGCGATGACCCGGGCGCTGATCCGCCCTTGCCGCCGGGCGAGAACGGAGTGGAGGGCAGAGCGGTCCGGGTGGGCACCCGCCGGAGCCAGGTAGGCAGCGGCGGGGCCGAGGCGCGCTCCCGCCCCGGTACCCGGCTCGTTCCGGCCGACTCGGGGTCCGCGGGCTCCTCGGGGCTGGGGGAAGGGCTGGGCTTCCGAAACCCGCGCGTTCCGGTTCCTTCCTTGGGACTCCGGGAAGAAGTTTGGAAAGCGCCCCCTTCGGAAGCCGGGGGGGCGGCCGGCTCTGAGAGCGCTGCCCCGGCGCGGGAACCGAGGGTGAGGCGCGGGGCCCTCCCGGGTCTGGTGGGGGCTGTGTCACTTGCAAGGCCTGTGCAGCTCTTGCAGGAAAAAAACACCAATGACTGACGGCTGCAGCTCGCTCAAGGGCAGGGAAGGGACGTGTCCGGAGATACAGCAGGTATCTCTTGCCAGCGGGCTGCAGCGGGAGGAGCAGCCTCGCAAAGGGAGATAAGAGACCCTCAGACCTTTGTTCTGAGATAATGTCGTTCCTTCTGGTAGCACGTTCTAGGAAGAATTTCGTACTGTCACGAAGGCATTTTGTGTAGACATCAGGGCAAGGGACATAGCCGTGCCTGTGGGCTGCCTGATTTTCCAACCTGAGGCTCCTGGGGCACTTTACAAAGGGAAGTAGCTACTTACTGTCGTTTTACTTGTAGGGAATCAACGGTCCTGAGAACCACATTAATTACCAAAGGGTCCTTAGCCCCTCGGTGGGAGAAAAGCTGAAACTCACCTGTAGTGCTTGAGTTTGCTGCTTCTTGCATGTGCAGAATGATGACACACTCTGTGATCCTGGGTTTATTTTAGTTGCTTCTGCTGTTCTTATGCAAAGGAATGTTCTTCCTGCGGTTTACTGGTTTGAGATCTGTTGCTTGCTGAACGTGACGATGTAAGGTGTTACTTTTCTCTGTGTGTGTCTGTAGAACCTATAAATAAAGCTCTGTTCTTACAGAGGATAAGTAACTTGTATTTGACAGTAACTGTAGATTTTTCCAGCGGCACAGGGAAATCCTTCTGGCTTCTCCCAAAACTTGCAGTATTGGTAAAATTCATACTCTTAGAGAGTACTACCCAGTGTGCAACATGACTTACTCTTTCATCACTGAGCAACAGGAGGATGGTTTTTCTTACTTTTCTGCCCACTTGCTGAGGAGCAGGTGTAGTTCAGCAGTTGTGTTCCACAGAGGTGAAGCACAACAAGAGGAAGCATGAGAATCCTGATCTGCAGGCTTCTGCTGTAGTCGCTCTTCCTAACTGGATAAATTGCTGTGTCTCATGAGTGTTTGGATCACAACAGCACTGAAAACAGGGAACTGTTGTGCCACTTAGCAATAAAAGAAGTTCTTCAGTGCAGGGGGTCTGGTCATTATAGGAATTCACACAGTTCAAGGAATATGTACCTATGAGCGATTTTGCTTGAGGCAACCTATTTCTAATGCTTTTGATTTTGAGAGAAGGTACTGGGCATGCATGCCTGACTGTTGAAGAATAGCAAAGCCTCCTTAGCTACGGTATGGACAATGTGTTCTTTCCTTAGGACTTTCTGCTTCCTTGCAGCTGGCCCGGATTCAGACCGACAGCGTGGTTACGATGCTCCGTGAGCTGTACCCTGACCTCCACTTTGAGATTGGTAAGTTGTTTTGGATGCTGCCCTGGGGGTGGATGGCAGCAGGAGCCGGTTGGTTATCTTTGTGTGCGAGAGGTGTGCATAGAGTCAGGAGGAGGAGGATTCGACCCCACTTATCTAAGAGTGCAGTCTGAATTCAGTTATGTTGTGTGGCTTAGCAGCTGCTGCTCATTCCTTCCAGGGGAGAAAGATGGATTTCATAGGCTCTTGATGATGGAAGCACTGAGTATGTGATGCAGATGGTGTTCTGTTGCTCTGTTTGCAAACCTGGTATTGTTCTGGCTGCACTGTGCTGAGCATTAGGGGCATTTTCTGGTCTGAGGCTCGAGGCTTTCAACAGGAATAATGGGACCTCAGCCTTGCACTGAAGAGAACTGCTGCATATGTGTTCACTGGCACTGCAGAGACAGACTGTGGCAGTTTCCATTGGGTCAGCTCTTCCCAAACCTGCCCCCTTTCCCCTTGCTGTGGTTTTTATGACAGTGAAGGAAGTCTCCATTTCACTTGCCTTGACTGCAGGGTATGTCTAGAAGTGAGTCTGTCTTGTACTGAGCCTGAGTTGGTGCTCACCCAGCAGTGTGTGACACTGCTCTGCGCGTGGCATTTTACATAGGTGTTTTCAGCCTAAGCCCAGTGCTCTTACCAAGCCTCACATTTTACCTGTACTGTCTCTGAGCAGTTGCCATGTCAACAACCGGAGACAAGATCTTGGATACAGCACTTTCCAAGGTAAAGAATCTCTTCTTCCTCTATACAAGAACTAATCGTATTTGAAGTTATATTGTCTGATGCTTCTTTTGTGATTCATGTCCTTCCATTTATGTGTAGATCGGGGAGAAGAGCCTCTTCACCAAAGAGTTGGAAAATGCACTTGAAAAAAATGAGTAAGAGCTTATTGTTTTCCCTTCTTCCTCTGGCATTTGTTGCTCTTTGGACATCTCTGGCTTGCTGCATATGTGATCTACTTTCCTTCTGTTCTGGTACCTCTGGCTAAAAAAAGAAACCTTTTGATAAGTCACTGTCTTTTTCTTTCCCTTTTCTCTCTGTGCCCTGGGCTTTAGCCATGTATTTTGAATTGGAGTTGTGTCACTTTGTCTGCCCTAGTTAGGTTTCTTTTCTTCTGTCATTTGTGTATTATATATGCATCAGAGGATGTAATTTCATTTGATTTCTGCTTATGAGTATGGTCTTTTAAAAACACTTTATTTGGTGGTGGTAATGTATTGCAAAACATATTTATTGTTATCATGTTAACATTTATTAACATGTTTGTGAGCTAAATGTGCAGGAGAATTGGACATGGGCAAGTTGTGCTGCGTTCTAACTTCTCTCTTCAGAAAACCTTGGTTCAGGCTCCTGCTGAAGGAGAGAGAGATTAGTGGTGTTTTTGTGGGTTTGAGGTGTTGGGTTGTTGTTGTTTAATCTCTTCTTTTTCAATATTCTGAGGAATGTTGCCTTAGTTAAAGGATGTTTAAAAACAAAGGTATTCTTCTTTACCATGTAGTTACATCATACTACATTTTCAGTGAAGTTGGTGAAAACATTCTGGGGACTCAAGCATTTATGATGATGTTCACTTGCTGTGTAATGAAGCAGGTGCCCTGTAGTTTGGGTTGCTGCCACTTTCAGTTTGAAGCATAATCCAGCCCCCTGACTGATGCATATTAGTATGAGTCTCTCTGTGTAAACATCTCCAGTGTCTTCCCCTCACTCAACTTAATTGTTTCAAAAGTGTCTTGCATCGCTGCTGGGAGGAAGGCATTATCCCAGGGGGAAAAGAGAGAGAGAGAGAAAGGTGAGGTAGCTTTTTTTGGAGTAACTTGAGAACTCTATAGTAAATTCTGGCTGTGGAATCCTGAAATTCCTCTCTACTCCAGATTATTTCTCAGAGTGGGTCCAAACTTTTCTGTAGATGACCTGCAAGCCTCTGATAGACCACCACATGAGCTCAACCATCTGTTCGCTCATTACTACCCTCTAATTTTTAGAGTTGACCTTGTGGTTCACTCCTTGAAGGACCTGCCAACTTCCCTTCCTCCTGGCTTTACCATCGGCGCTGTCTGCAAGTAAGTGTGAACACAAGGCTTGCTTCTCTGAAGGGCTTGCATTTTACCGTGTTGGTAAAGAAGAGCAAAGGCAGCTTAGGTTCATTTATGTGTTCAAAGTTTCATCACCCTCTGAATAATCTCCATAACAGTGGAAACACCAGAGCTGTCCTAGTGGTCGGTAGCCAGCAGGTGTGCTGAAAATGCTTGTTTTTACAATGACAGTGGGGTATTTTGGAGCCAGAGGCAGTTCCTCCAGGGACTGATAGCAGAACTGTTAAGCTTAACAGCCTTCCCTTAAATGATGTGTCATTCATTCTGCGCTTGCATTATTTTGCAGAAGGGAGAACCCACTTGATGCTGTTGTCTTTCATCCCAAAAACTGTGGAAAAACATTGAGCCTCCTTCCTGAAAAGAGGTGAGTGGGAGAGGAAGGGGATGACAGGTGTGAAAACAGAAGGGGGCAGTTGGTTGATTCTTTCCAGTGGCAAGTCAGTGAGCTCCTTGCTTTATCCTGTAGTGGTTTTACGCTGCCTTTTGTGAGTGTTCCACAGACATTACGCTACACCCACTAGCTGGGAAGAGCAGCAGCAAGGGGTGCTGCACACTGGGTGAGACTGGATCTCTCAAACCACCCTAGAGTTGCAGTGTTGATTCTCAAGTTAGACACTTTCAGGATCTCCAGAGTGAATTCCTGCTTCCTTGTCTTGTGCCTACTGCAGGGAAATGCATACATTGCAGACAGGGTGTCCAGTGCAGGACTTTGGCTTTTGTGGACCTGAAGTATGCTTTTGTTCTCACCCAGCCAGTTCTGATTTCTTCCTGGATTTTTTGGCATCACTTCCTTGTGGATTTTGAATTACCTGCCCTTTCATAGAGGTTATTGGAATCTTTTGTCTGAGGTAGCTGAGTGAAATGACCCAGATTAAGGTAGCTATTAGATTT